CCGCACTTATACCTCGCATATCCAACTCATACCATACCATATGCCACTCCGCACTCCCCTCATCGAGCATCGCGGAACCCAAAAATAAGCCCAAAATAGAATCGATATGCATAAATTCTGTTGTCTGACGTCATTTTCCCATTTCCTCAATTGCCATGCATAGCTTCGCTGCCCGCCTTCAACTGAACTTGTTCTCTCTCTCTCTCTCCTCTCCCGCTGCGTCCCTCCCTCATCCCCCTCTTTGCCGTTTTGATCTGCTTGGGTGTTCGTCGTAATTTGCGCACTCAATGGAAAATTGTTAATTAGATTCCTTGCTTGCCGTGTGACTTTGTCTTCTTCACCACGTCGGCGTCGTCGTCGTCGTCGTCGTTGTCGTTGTCGGCCATTGTTATGCTGTCCCCCTACCGCACCCCCCCTCTCTCTCTCTCTCTCTCTCTCCGTCTCGCTGGCTGTGCTTTGACCCCTCACTCCATCATATTCAAAGTCCTTTGCCATCCCGCTTTGGCGCATGCCCCACGGCTGAAGCGTTTTAGCCGTTGCCTTTGTGTCAAAGTTGGTTAACGTGATTGCTGTTGGCCCTTTGCCCCCCCCCCCCCCCCCCCCTTCCCCCCCCCCCCCCCCCCTCCCCCCTTCGCCCACTCTCCACCAGAGCTGCTGCACCCCACCTCAACTACCAATTGTTTTAAACCACCTTTCCGCTTCAACGACTCAACGCGAACCCAACGAACTTTAAGTGCAAAGCATTTTACAGCAGCGAACGGCCAAGAGGAGAGCGCAATTTTTGCACTAAACTTTTTGCTCTTTCACTTTTTACTAACACCATGTGTGCCTGTGTGTGTGAGTGTGTCTCTGTGTATGTGTGTGTCGTGTGCGCTCAGGTTTCGGTTTAGTGAAATCTCCTCAAACGGTAACGAGTGCAGGAAATAACACGGATGCGGGCAACGAAACATCTGAACATCCGGACATGGAGCACAGCACACACACACACACACAGAGGTGGATCAGTGGGTGGTGTGGGCGTGGCAATTGGTTAGTGCACCTGCCAAGCGCTGCCAACTCAAATGGGCCATTAGCTGAACAGCCAAATAAGCCATCAAAGGCAATTGATTCATTAACACACTCACTTGCTCAATTTGAACACGATTACGAATGTATTTGCAACTAATTCATTTACTTAAGTGAATCAGTTGGATGTCTCAACATTCTTTCTTTCTTTTGTGAATGAGCCACAAAGTGAGCTGGCAATGGAGAGGGGGACATGTGCATGAAGAAGTTGTGAATGAAGTCAAACTGGGATCAATCCAAAAACATAACTCGAATTTAAATAGCGATTATCCTGCCGAACTGGCGATTATCCTGAATAGTAGCAAGTGTAGGACAGCGAATACATATATGTATATATGGATAGAGAGACGGACAGAACGATGAACGGGCGCTATGATAGACATAAACATACATGGATAGGGAATCAGATGGGCGGATAGACGTAAGGGCAGGTTGACGGACGGGCGTCCGGATAGACGGGTGAACGTATGGACGGACGAACGGATAGATGGAAGAACGGACGGATGGACGGGTGAATAAATGGACGGATGGACGGGTGGACGGACGGACAGACGGATAGACAGATGGACGGATGGATGGATAGACGGATGGACGGACGAACAAACGGATAGACGGGTGGACGGACGGATAGACGGGTGGACGGAGGGATAGACGGGTGGACGGACGGACAGACGGATAGACAGATGGACGGATAGACGGATGGACGGATAGACGGATGGACGGACGGACGGATATATGGATGGACGGACGGACGGACTGATAGCCGGCTAGACAGATAAACAGACGGATAGACGGATGAACAGACGGATAGATGGATGGACAGACGGATAGACGGGTGGATAAATGGATAGATGGATAGACGGATGGACAGACGGCCAGATGGGTAGACGGGTGGACGGATGGACGGATGGACAGATGGATAGACGAGCGATCAGACGCATGGACTGATAGAAGGACGGACGGACGGATAAACATACAGACGCCCGGATCACTGAGAAACGAGAACATGGATGGAGGGACGTTTGGATGGAAGAATGAAAATACACATGCAAAGCTGGACGTAGAGACGCGCAGTTAGGCGTATGCTCAGATGGATCAAGAAAGAGATGGGACGTACATGCATGTGAACGGATATAAAGGCGGAAATTCAGCTAGAATGACGAACAGACAAATTGGGGATTGGAGCACGTGAAACGAACGACAGGAAAGATGTACGAACAGATGGACAGCATGAGCCGACGATCTCTGTCAAGTCAGCTCATTGTCCCGAATTAGAACGAACAAGTACTCTTATTGGAATCTCCTACGTCCCCTTGATTACTCTCATTGAATGACTCTCATTATTGCCTTCCATTTCGATAATATTAATAAATAGCAAGCAACTGCAACTCCTCCACAGGTTGTCAGCCAACAGAGGAAGGCGAAGAAGAAGAAGAAGAAGAATAAGAGGAGGAAGTTGTCAACACGTTTACCCCTTTCCCCACTGGCGACGCTCATAAACAATTCAAAGATTCACTCAACTGGTGTGCGATGCGAAATGCGATTGGTTCCACATGTGCCAAGCGTATGTGAGTGTGACTATGTGAGAGTGTGTGTGTGTGTGTGTGTGTGTGTTGCATGTGTTTGTTTCAATTAAGCGCAAAGCAGAGGCCGTGGGCTGCCAGCTCCGCAAATGCATTCGCCATGGCCAGCAAATAAAACTTAGACACGCTCGAACCCTGCACAGGGCTGAGCAGCGCGGCCAGGCAAGGGTTACAGCCAGCCGCGGGGAGATGGCGCTGCCGGGGGCGGGAGGGGGCTGCACAAAAAAAATGCCAATTAAAATCTTAGCCGGGACAAGTGCATCATCAGGCAAGACAAGACAAGGCAAGGCCGACAAGAGAGTGGAGAAGAGATGGAGCGTGGCGCAATGCATTCTCTCTAAGCCACCACTCTCTCCCTCTCTCTCTCTCTCTCTCCCTCTCTCTCTCTCTCTCGCTGGTTGCTGCTTAAACCGAGTGAAGAGTAGAGACACAAGGGAAATTGCCCCACTTGACGCCTTTGTGTGGAGCTCGTCTTGCTATCCGCTCGCAAATGGCTCAAAAGTGGCTGCTTTTCTTCCTCTTCTACTGCTACTTCGTCTTCTTCTTCTTCTTCTTCTTGCCGTTGCTGCTGTTGTTGTTGTTGCAAGTGAAGAATGCGAACGTCAAGTGGCTGCTACTAAAATACTTAAGCAGCGCACTTCTGGCCTGCATAAAAAAAAAAAAAAAAAAAAAAAAAAAAAAAACGTGGAGGAGGGATATAAAAAAATGGAAAACAAAACAGAATTGCCAAGAATGCGCTGGCAAGTGGCAAAGTTCGTGCTAACCAGAGATTAGAGATTAGAGACAAGTGCGCGAGGCAACACAAAATGGCAATTAACCAGGCCCAGAGAGCAATAGCAACAGCTAGTTGGGCTGGTTGAAGCTGCAGGGGAGTCTTAAAGCAAGAGTCCACGATAAGCGATATTTTGGCTAAAGCTATCGATAGCTGTAAGTAATTAATATCGAGAGCTAACGATAATTACACAGATTCATTTTGGTATATTCTAGAAGTAATTGACGATTTAATACTAAATGAAATTCTAGCAATATGATTGCCCAGCAATAGCTGTTATCGATCTATCGATATACTCATATGGGTTCCATTCGTATTCGATTAACTTCAGCTAAATTTAATTATTAAACATCAAAGATTAATGTTTGCTTTCAATATATGCTATCGATTAATATCGGTTTTAATATAACTACTGTTGAGCAATAGCTTATATCAATAGCTCATATTAACTTGTATTATCAATACACTAATAAACTCATAGCTTGAACAAACTATCAAAAAATCGAAAGTAATTAATTGTTATAAATATACGCTATCGATTTTTATCGTCTATGTTATTGTGCTATCGATCTTATTTTAATTTGATTTTGACAACAGACGTTCGCACTTATTCGCTTTTATCAATATATTACTTTATCTATTTCATATTGATTGGAGACTTTCAATCACCATTTATCGAAAATCGAATATGTATCGGAATGCGCTGCTTTCAAATTGAATTAGCTGCAGACGTTCCTCGGCCCGCTCCACTTGATTGCATCTGCTAAGACAAACAATTCAATTTACACACTACACTCCACTACATGGACTTGCACGCCAGCTCTGGCAACCCTTTGTTCCAATTGGATTTTGTGTGCGCCTCTTATTGGATAAGTTTATGTGCGCCTCGCAATTTCTTTCACTTTTGTTTTGTTTTTTGTTTTGGTTTTTTTTTGCCTTTCGTTTGTTTTCGGGCATGTGTGTGCCGAAAGGGTTAAAGCACACACACACTCACACATAAACGGGGACAGGGATGTCATGTGCTTGCGTCAAGGATGTGTGGAGGCTGTGTGCGAGATGTATGTGCGTGTAAATTGCGTATAAAAACGTATGTTGAAAATATTTATTGCCCGTTGCGAATGCAACAAAATGAAAATGAAAATGGAAATGAAAATTTCATTAGTTGACTTCAGCCACACACACACGCACGCACATATATGCCTGTGAGTGTGTGTATGTTAGTTTTTTTCTCTCTCTTTTGTTGTTGCTTGTTTTAAGCTAAATTGTTTATTTTATTAGCAATTTGGAAGATTTATGAGTTCGCCAGGAGCTCTCAACACGAAATGAAGCGCCGGAATGCCCATTAATTAGCGTGCAGCTAGACTAACGGAAATATGGGTGCGTGTGTGAGTGAAAGAACGAGAGTGAGAGAGAGAGAGTGAGTGAGAGAGAGAGAGAGCGAGGGAGTTGCTGCTGCCCTCTGTGGGTCAGTTCTTGTGGCAAAGCTTTGCCAGGACTCGACTTGACAATCCGTTCATTGCCTACCTTTAGGCGCTTCCTTTAATATTTCCTAATTAGATTTTAATTCAAGTTTCGCTTACCCGTTAAACATGTTCCGGTGCCAGCGAAATTCTTCAGCTGCGGAAATCCTGCGAATGAAACGAATATAAAGGAGACTTCAAACAATTGTACATCAAGGAAAAGTTAGTGGAGTGGATAAGGTTTGATATTGAATGCTATCATAGCCAATTGAAGCTACATATATATGCATTTGTTATCGATAACATGCCATACGTTCAGTTATCGGTGTACAAAATGTGTTCATAGATATTATAATCAATCTAAACAATAACAGAATAAACTTTAATCGATAGCTATCACTAGATACTGTCGATATGTTTTGTTTTAGAATCGATACAAATGTGTTAAAGATAATTAAAGAGAAAACTGTCTATATAAAAATTTTGATATATTGGGTAATTTGATGGACTTATTGATAATCGATCGATACATAGATATCGATCAATAATATACTTTGTGTGGTACGCAACAATTTCTGCAAGTAGTATTAAATCTGAGCTTCTTATCGATATATATGTATGTATATATACTTGGTGTAGTACGCAACAATATCTGCGCGTAGTATCTAATCCACGTTTAACAAAGCTATATCGATCTTATTTATATATGTATATTGAAAATCCTTTCTACTGTCATTTAAAATTTTTTTTGAGATTTGAATGAGGCCTTAATTGAATTGCGAACAGAGTATTCCGCAGTCAGTTGATTTCGTTTGCTTTTCCTTTTCTATAGAGACGGTCGTCGCATTTATTAGCCTTATACAAGCGGTCGGCTCCAACGATCTGACCCTGACCGCGCCTCATTTTGTGCTCCACCAGACTCGGAGCACATTCAGCTTGAGCTCAGCTCGCAATGTTATGGCATTTGGACAGCCGGCAGCAGAGAATGGGGGGGTAGCTGGGTTGGAGCGAGGGTCGAGGGATCGCTCCTCGGAGTGACATATCAAAGCAAAATCAAATTTGACAGACAACCGCGCTAATTTCTGCTCGATGTTTCATTGTTTCAAGGCGTTCATCGGTTGTTCGGCTCTTCGGCTGTTCGGCTGGCCCATAAGGGGTTGCAGAGAACAAACGGCACTCGGCGGGCACTACGGTAGGGCTAAGGGAGGGGCTGCAGCACGCGTGAGCTATGCGAACCGCAAATACCCTCGACATGTAAATATTTATTGTACGATGCATGAGCTGCATACGTGCCAGAGAGTCATACGATATTGTAGTTGTTGGCCCAGCAATCGCCGTTGCATTGTTGGAATTTCACAGATATAATATTTCAATATACAAACAATGCCCTGAACTTTGATTAGTGTAATAGGAAATCTTTTTAATGTAAATACTTGAGCGATAAATTTATTGTTGATATGATAGAATAGTTCAATCAAGGCTTTATAGAGAGAGAGAGAGAGAGAGAGAGAGAGAGAGAGAGAGAGAGAGAGAGAGAGAGGGAGGGAGAGAAAGAGGGACGGAGAGAGAGAGGGAGAGGGACAGAGAGAGAGAATAGAAACTAGGTTTGCTTGCCTATAAAAAACTGATTATAAATATATTTCATATATCTCTATACATATGTATGTACATGTTCATAGGTCAACTTATGCTCTGCATTACATAATGCATAAGAAATTTATAAAGCTCATTGTTAGAGCATAAAATGCTGCAAGCACAATAAGCGAAAGGGTCAGGGGGAGAGAGAGGGGGGGGACAGGGAGAGAGATTTCAACTGAAGCAATACACAGAAGTATATGCAAGTATGTGTGTCTGTGTGTCTCTCTGCATGTGCGTGTGTGTGTGAACCCTACGCCAAGCGAGTGGCGAGTGAAGCGGAGGATGTCAACAATCAGCACACATCAAACTGGAAACTACATTTATTAGCTTTCGCCTCGTTGCCAGACTCCTCAGCCCGTCAGCCCCCTCCGAGTGCCTTGGCCACCCCCTCCCTGCCCCCGACACGCTGCTGCCTGCTGGCATGCCCTCTTGCCTCGCTTAGTAACCGCTGTGGCATGTCAACGGCAATCAGCAGCCGCTGCCGCTTGTTGATTTACCAAGAATTTTGAAATTGTGAAATTCGATATTGCGCGAAACTCTGTATTCTGTAAGGAATTGTGAGTACTTGCATGTGTGTGTGTGCTGGTGTATGTGTGTGTGTGTGTGTGTGTCTGAGCTGAATGTGTAAATGTGAAAACGCACAGCTCTATAGAAATGCAAGTGACGAAGTATTTATAAACTGATTAAGGCTAAACAATAGCTGATATGGGTCGACACGAGGCGAGCCGAGCCGAGCAACGCCGCGCTGCTTGGCCCTCTTTGCTGGGACTCACGCAAATTTACAGCTAAACACTCTCTCGCAGTTGTACATACTTCTAATCGCGACCACACAAAGCGTGCTGCCACGCCCCCTCCTCGCAGCTCGGCCTTCCGCTGCTCCAAAGTGGAGCCGAAACAAAAAGTCGCATCGTGAGCTCTCAGCGCACAGCAAAGTAGCTCTTGCTCTGTGTGTGTGCCTGTATGAGTGTATGAGTGTTTGTGTGTGTGTGTGTGTGTGTTTGTATTGCGGGTCAAGTGAACAACAGCTGGGCATTGCCTGGTACAGGTTTCAATTGCCCAACACGAATGCATTCGTCGTAGATCTGACTAATTTCAAGATATTTTTCGCACGCAAAAGCTGTGCGAATATTAATGTGAATAAAAATGTGAATATGTCGTGAGTCCGAATTGGATTTATTCATATACCCTATTAGTCACATTTAGCATAATCTATAAAAGTAGCTATTAATTAATTAATAATGTGTATATTAAGTGAATACATTCAAATATAATGAATACATTCACTTGATTCGTTAAACTTGCATAAAATCAAAAAACGTTTCATATACATCCGAAGATCCATATGAATATATTCGAATTTATTCATATACCCTATTAGTCACATTTAGCATAATCTATAAAAGTAGCTATTACTTAAATAATAATGTGTATATTAAGTGAATACATTCAAATATAATGAATACATTCACTTGATTCGTTAAACTTGCATAAAATTAAAAAACGATTCATATACATCCAAAGATCCATATGAATATATTCGAGCGCCATAGTCAGCGTATTGTAATCCAGTGTGAATAAGTGTGAATATAATGAATACATTGTATATGATTCAAAATTTTAAGGTAATTCTCTAAAAAGTTGTTGGTAAAAACCTTTTGGACTGTACTAACAGAAATGTGAATACAATGTATTATACAATGAATACACTCAGGCAAGAATTCACTCTTACGTAATGAATACATTTTACTGAATCAAATGAATGTTGAATGAGTTCCATGCATTCACTGTGAAATCCAAATGTAAATTACGAAATGCTGTCTAGCGAATATTGACTATCAGGTGAATACACTCACACACTTACTCATTCATTCAATCAATCATGGGCAGCAAATCGAACAGGTCGGCAACTGTTTGGCCAACGTGCTCAAATCGTTGAGTGCCCACTTCAAATGAATATTTGTTGATGAATACTCGAATCTCAATCTGAATCTGAGTCCGAATCGGAATCTCAATGAATGTGCGCTGCATAATTAGCAGTCGTCGACATCGAGCAGTGAAAGCAGCTAAAAATAGCCAAAAAATCAAAATCAAAACAAAACAAAACAAAAATAATAATAAAAAAAAATAAATGAATAAATAAATCGAATCAAATGATGAACGAGAAAAATGGGGCTATGCTTCGACGGCCGAATGCTCTTCAACAAAACTGAATCGTTATAATATAGTTCTGCGATCTGCGCATAGAGTGGAATAGAAATCCCACTGATATATAGCTAGCTATAGATAAATCTAAACAAAGATTTGAAAATAGATATAGATACTGAATGCAATTTTAGATAAGGATAGATACTTACAGATACATTGGTATCGGCACATACGAATATAGATAGATAGATACAATTCTTATGGAAAGCACTTTTATAGACACATCACTCTAAATCTAGGTGTATCTCTAGAGATACAGATACTTGTGACTAGACCTATACAAATAGAGATGCAGATACAATAATATAGATATACCACATGTAAATACATAGAGCTACCATTTTGTTAGAAATCAGACTCTCTGTATAGGTACAGATACAGATAGAT